GGCAGTTCCCAGTTTGTATAGTTAATGTCAAAATCTTTCTCAAACCTATAACTTTTTGGTATACCAAGATGAGCAAAAAAGGAATAAAACCTTTTCCTTAAGGGTAGGTAACCTGCAGGATCACTTGGAAGTGCTGTTATTGGTGAATATTTATGCTTTATTGGTTATGAATGTCCCAAATTCTTATTGTGCCATATTGTTTGACCAAAGACTTGTCCTTTGATTTAGGAAGGTTCCACTTGCAATATGCATTTCATGAATATGAAGAGCAGTTGTCAGAATGGCCTAGATTCATAAAGATACTTTGGCATTGTGATACTCAGCACCACAGCACCTAACTTTTAGGCACTTAAAAAAATCAACATGAACAACATTGCGATTCACAAAGCCTGAGTTAGGTGCCAAGGCTCCCTATACAATGAATGGGGAGAGAGAGGTGTCTAGGAATGGGAGTCACAAAAACCAGAACACGAGGAGAGAAGCTGCCTAAACTAACCAATGGGAGATGCAAGCGAGAACGATGTGTGTTAAGCCCGCCCCCGAGATAGCTGCCTAAGTCCAGGCTGCAGTAAGGCACCTATTTCTGCCTGTGATACACAGCCAGGAACCCTTCTCATGGAGTCAGGTGACTTGGGCACCTGAGTTGTTTATTGTGAGAATGAGTTAGGCAGGTGCCTAACTCCGCACAAAACAAAATCTGGCTGGAGGAGGTGGTGCCCACCTTACAACTTTTTAGCCTAGTGTTTAGAGCACTCACCTGGGAGATGGGAGACCCAAGTTCAACTCCCGCCCCTGCTCGGTAGGGAAAAAAGATTTGATCTAGGCTCTCCTACCTCTTAGGAGGGTGCTCAAGTCACTGAGCTATGGGATAGTCTGAAGTAGGGATCCCTCGATATAACTAATTAAAGAGTGATGTGGGCAGGGGGACCAGACCCTGGGTTTCTCACCTCCTGCGTGGGTGCACTAAGCACCAGGCTACAGTGTCATTTGTCATGCTCTATGACTCAGTGACTCTTTAAGTATTTATATGCAATGGAACAGCTCCAACAGGAGAGATCGAGGGGAACCCCGTGCCCCCATCAGAGTATCCCATAGCTCTGTGATTAGAGTGCTCTCCAGAGAGGTGGGAGACCACTGTTTGAATCCTTTCTTCTCCTCAGATAGTGGTGGTCATTGAACCTGGGTCTCCTGCATCCCAAGTGAATGTTGTAACCACTGGGATAAAAGTTATAAGACAGCCAGATTTTGAAAGGGACATAATCTGGTAGATAGCGTCTCAACACACCTATTGGATAGGGCCCTCCACACAAGTTAGGCAGCTGAATACCTATTTTCCCTGGTTTGTGAATTGCTCTGAGGGCTAGGCAGGAGATAGGCATCTGGATGGCTAGAGTGTGGACAAACAACACATTGAGGTTGTTTGTACCTCAGCCACCTTTGTGCCTTGTTTTGTGCAACTCCTTACAGCACAGAATGGCCTCACAGTTCTGGTCTGTCAAACCACTTGTTGCTTCATTCAGATCCTTCAAGACTCTCATTTTCTGTGTTTGGAACATAGGCCTAGATGGAGTTTTTACCCTGAAAATTTAGGCACTGAGTGTAGGTATCTACAGGGTTCAGCAGGAGTTTTGTAGATCATAGTGGAGCCTAAAACTGGGATTTAGGTGCCAAAACCGAGACTTAGTTGCCTACATCTGGGGTTTGCGTACCTAAGTACCTCTGGGAGTCTAGGCCAGAGGTGGGCAAACTACGGGCCACATCTGGCCTGTGGGACCGTCCTGCCTGGCTCTTGAGCTCCCGGCAAGCCCCCGGGCCCTCCCCTGCTATCTCCCCTCTCCCACAGCCTCAGCTCATCGTACCACCAGCGCTCTGGGCAGTGGGGCTGCAAGCTCCTGCTGGGCAGTGTGGCGGCTGGGCAGCGTGGCTGCCAGACATGCCGCTCTGAGCGGCATGGTAAGGAGGCAGGGAGCGGGAGGCGGGGTGGATGGGGGGCAGTCAGGGGACAGGGAGCAGGGGGCGGAGGTTCTGGCGGTGGGGTGGTCAGGGGACGGGGAACACGGGGGGTTGGATAGGCGTGGGAGTCCCGGGGGGCCTGTCAGGTGGTGGGGGTGTGGATAAGGGGCAGGACAGTCAGGGGACAGGGAGCGGGGGGGGGGGGTTGGATAGGGGGTGGGACACTGGGGGGGTTGGTTAGGGATGGGGGGTCCCAGGAGGGGGCGGTCTGGGGACAAGGAGCAGGGGGGTTGGATGGGTCCAGGGTTCTGAGGGGGCAGAAAGGGGGTGGGAAATGGGAGGGGGCAGATAGGGGGTGGGGGCCAGGCTGTTTGGGCACCGCCTTCCCTACCCAGCCCTCCATACAGTTTTGGAACCCCGATGTGGCCCTCAGGCCAAAAAGTTTGCCCATCCCTGGTCTAGGCCAACTTGCTTGCAACAAACTTTGTATTGGTAGATGGTGTGAAAGTAGGGTTAAGGGAGCCAGCATGGTCCAGTGAATAGTGTTCTGAACTGGGCGCCAAAACACTTGCGTTCTATCCCTGGCTCTGACACTAACATGGGCTGTGACCTTGGATGAGTCACTTAAGAACTTTTAAAAACTTAGATCCAAGTGATTGATATATGAGCCTCATTTCTATTGACTTTCTATGGAATTTAGGCTTTTAAGTCATTTAGGGCCAGATTTTGAAAGGTGTTTAGATACCTAACTCCCACTGAAATCAAAGGGAGTTAGGTGCCTAAATTATACCTTTAAAGATCTGACCCTTAGTCACTTTTTAAAATTTTACTCTTCATCTCTGTGTGTGTCTGTCTCTGCATCTGTAAAACATGGCTAACATGGCTGCTTTCCTTCTTTTGTAAATTGCATTGAGATTTACCAAGGAAAAGGACTATATAATAATTATTATTTTTTATTGAGTTGCCCTGCCCCAAAATCCCTGATTACTAACCAGTTCCAAATTACAAGAAACCTATGTTCAAAGAAACCCACAATTGTTTTAACTTGCTCAGTTCACAACTGAAATCACAACTGGGAGATCATTTGTCTTAGCTCATCCATACAGCACTGGGAAAGCTTAGCAGCACTTTGTTCAGGTTTCCTAAAAGATCCTGTAAAGTGGGTTTTGGTTACTTTTAGGAGCCCCGATACTTTGGTGTTAGATGGTTTACAAATGTTCTCGATGACAACCCTTCCTGCAAGATCAGACCAAATGTTCTTGAATTGTAATGGTCACAGAAGTGATCTGAAAGAAATACAAGTCTGCAGTTCCTACTTGGGAATTTGACATTTCAAGCTCCATGCGCTATTTATTTACCTTTCACATAGCTGATTTCCTACCTGTAACTGATAAAATGTTTGAAACACATCACACTGCATTTTATTACTACTGTGTGCACTGCCCCAGGTGAGATCAGGTCCCCATTGTGCTAGGCACAGTACAAACACAGAGTTCCTTACCCCAGATATCTTATAATCTAAACAGACAAAGCAGAGGAGAACCAGAACAGAGGTGAAGGGACTTGCCCAAGGTCATCTTGAAGGTCAGTGGCTGACCTAGGAATAAAACCCAGGTCTCCTTGTCTAATGCCCTATCCATTGGACAACATTGCCTCAAAGACTAGAGTTCAAACCATCTATAGAGGATCTGCAAAGTAAGTCAAATATTATTTAATCTTATCGGTGATGCTGTTTTCCATTTCATATTTTGGGCATCCCCTTCAGAGAAGTGATTCATTTGCAAAGGCATCTTCTTGAGACTTGCATTGTAAGGTAGATTTTTAGCATCTTCCTGGGTAAACATAGCCAAGTGTAGACTACGCAAATGTTAGTTAGGTGTTACACATTAGTACCCATAATGGACTATATACCTGGATTACACTGGTAGTGAAACTATGTAAAATCAGAGTCCTCCAGTTGAAAAGCCGTATCTACATGCAAAATATTATAATAACTAGGCTTGGCAGAACTTGATTTTTATTTTTTGATAATTTTGAGGGATATCAATGTTTATTTGTGAGTATTTTTAAAGATTTTTATCTATTTACATTTTCACAGTTGTGCAAAATTATGGCATGTCAATAGGTGGATCAGGTAATTATTTAATGACAGTAGATGTTGAGATTCAGAAAATTAAAGCTTTATAACTGTTAAAACACAAATTGTCAACATTACATCAAAATATACAAAGTAAATATCCTTAAATCAAACTCTAATAACTCCTTAAGCAGCATTTTTCCTTTGACTATCTGTAAATTTAGATTTATTATCCACAGAAGAGTGTGTGTGTGTGTGTGTGGTAAAATCGACATTTACCAGTAAAAATCTCTAACCCTGCCAAGCCTAATTAGAATGTCAGTCACACATCTCTAGAAGGTAACACAGTGTTTGAATCAATGTCTTCTAATTCTAAGAATTCTTACCTTATTGCCAGCTTGGTAGTTCTCTCTGTCTCAAGTGACTCTACAAGCCATCTGCACATGTTGAAAATCAAAGTACTTTCCGGTTTAAGTGGAGTTGCATTGTTTGTCACTCAGAATAAATCCCTCTATATCACTCAGTATGGTGCTTGGTGAAAACAGCTGATGTTCAAGTTCAAACCAAAAGCAAAGACAATGATTTGAAACCAGCAATAACAGCCTGATATCACCTTCCCAGTTGCAGCTCAACAAACCAACAAAAATATGCAATTTTCTCTGCTCTTGCTGGCAAACTGTATTCTAGCTCTAGTCCCTGGGTGTTTTATCTTTGACTTAAATAGGAATGAGTTGGCCCTTAGCGGTTTTTGACGGGAAAGAATACAGACTGTGTCGGACCTTGTCGAAGTGGTTAGGATAGTCACAGATTTTAAGGGCTGTCTCAAAAATAGTTTTAATGGGTCTGATTCTCCACTCTGTCACACTACGGTAATGGAATGGGGTTTCAGGTCCACCACGTTCGCTATTTTAGTTAGTTATTTTCTTTCCATTGTACTATATGTTAGATTTGTGCCCAATCTCTTTTTCAGATTTTGGTTTTAGGCTGTTATTTCCACACACCCTCCCCCATCCTCTCCATATGGAACAGAATAAAGTTAAGAAACATCATTTTCAAAGAATAAAGACTTGGATGGAGCCCATGTTTTCTTGTGAGTCTGCTACAGCTGTTAATTTGTGGAAAACCTCAGTGGAAGGTAAGCAATATGGCAGCATCATTTTACATGAGAATTCAGAAATGGCCTCATTCCAAACCTTGGCTGATTTAGGCTCTTGGCTTTCATAGACAAAGCTTTGTGTAGTGTCATGCCTTTTTAATAGATGATGTTGATGCAGCTGTGAAAGGTTCTGATATTCTTTAGTTTGACTGAATGACAACAATTCCATATTAAAGTATTGTGGAGTTGTGATCTTGTTTGTCTTTGCTCATCAGACATTAGTGGGTAAGTTTGAGGAGGGCTGGGATGCTGTTAAGGAGGGAAAATCCCATATAAATAGGTTCCCTCTTCCCCTTCTTTATAAACATACTGAAACCAAAATTTCACACCCAAACAGTCATGAACTTTGGGAAAGTTTGGAGCTGGATTTGAACTTTATGGTTTGGGCCCCCTCTACGTCTCCAGGACATGCACATCCTTTTTCTGTAGACATTATTCCCATCCAGTATTTGCCAGGCATAGTTGGTGGCATATCAAAATTTAAGTACTTTACGGAATACAGCAACATCTTTTCCTTGGATGGACATTTTTTTTTGCAGAGAGTCTATGGTATGCCGCTTAGTGAGGGAATTTTACAGTATACTTTTGGGAGAAATGCTGCACTTCTTTGGGATGGATTAGATGACCTAAAAAATGCTTTCCAGCTGTGATATCTATGTTGCTAATAAATGTCATCACAGCTGTTGACTTGGGGAGCATTAATGGTAGAACTAAGAGAACAACTTGAGATGTTGTTGACCATTCATATTGCAGTGGCACCTATAGACTTCAACCAGGTCAGGACCCCATTGTCCTACCCAAACATAGAGTAAATGATGGTCCTTGCTCCAGTGAGCTAACAGTCTATAGAAACTGACTCAAAACTTTTCCCAGCCCTGAAGCTGAATGTGTAGCAACCCTCCTTTTGTGTTGGGAAAAATGCATGGTTATTTTAATAATAATCCTTTCTTGTGCACATCTCAGTTCCTGATTCCTGGCTGGGACTGAAATCTGGAGTCTTAAAGTACTGTGGGAAAGGCTGTGCTAGCAACCTTGTGAGAAAGCTGAGACTTCCAACTCAATTTTGTAGATTCATCAGACTCTCATATTCTGGGTCAGTTTCAGATAAGACTTTGAACTGTTAAATGTTTCTCTGAATCCCAAACAAGTAAAAGTTTGGGAGGTTCACTCACCACTGATGTGGCTTTCCTTTTAGTAACAGTAATAACACTTGATATAGTATGTTTCATCTGAAGCTCTCACTCACTTTTTGAAAGTGCTTTAAGTATTATTTGCACTTTATCGTTGGGGAAGCTAAGACACAAAAAGGTTACATAGTGTATCAATGAAAGACCTGGGACTTGAATTCATGTTCCCGATTCCCAGTCTATGCTCTAACCACGAGACAATCTGGTTACATTCCTCTTGGTGGTGTTTTGTGAACAGGCATTCTCTTTCTAATGTCTTTTTGAGAAAACTCAGTTTGTATTAGTGTTGCCTTCTTCCCCATAACTGATAGATTGATTCCATTATCTGTATGCAGCCTCACTTCCTTCCCTTTCTGGACTTGGCTAGGTGTTATGTCTCTTGTCTTTAGGGTGAATTAAGGCAGCATTCTTGGATGCATGGGATCTCAGTCTCGTGGTCAGAGTGAAATAATGTGTTGGGAAGAAAGAGGAAGCCAGAGATGGGCTGTCCCTTTGAGGAGTCTGGGAGAGGAAGATCAAGGAGTTTGGGGAATGGAAAGTACTCTGTGGATGGGCATGATGTTTTCTGGAGGCGTCTGAAATTGGGTAAGTTCACTACAGAGGGAAGTAGAAGCAACACAAACTAACCACAACCTGCCTTGAACTCAGAGAGGAGTATGGCTAACTGCTGGGGAGTGCACTGATTCAGAACATTCTCTCCCTGACACCCACAAGCCAGGAGTTTCTGGTGGAAACCCAAATATCAGCTTGCTCTTTCTTGGGGTGAATTTTCATTCCAGTTTCCAATTTCTCAGTGGAATAGGGTAGGATAATTTACACCTTCCTGCATCACGCAGTGTGGCTCTGATCTGTAGTCTTAATAGGTAAAAAATTTTAAAGCACTTACGTGACTTAGGGTCCTAAGTCCCATTTTACAAAGTGGCTCAGACACTTGAGAGCTTAAGTTTCATTGAAAGTTGAAGGGTGAAATCCTGGCCTCATTGAAGTTGCTGGGAGTTTTGCTATTGGCTTTAGTGGGGCTAGGATTTCACCCAAAGATTTAGGCTCCTAAATCTCTTAGGTGCTTTTGAAAACCTTAACCAATTTGGCCTGCCTAATCCATGTTCTCTGTGGTTCTATCCAGTACCTATTTGTCTTGACTGCCTTACATTTTATAAAATCACACAACAGCTGTAATTGAATATCACGTTTTACTTTCAGTGACAGAGCAAAGGTGCCAAAATATTCAGTAGCTCTCCGAGGAACATCTGCAACTTCTTTAGTGAATATTTTTACAGCTGGTTATAGTTTTATTTATTTATTTTTTATTTTTAATGGTACAAAATCCTAGACCCTGGAGGGGGGAGAATAGTTTCCTTTCCTCATATCAGAAATTAAATAAATGCCTGGAGATAGGGCTAGGAGGTAGTTTGTCATTTGAGAGAGAGAGAAAGGAAACTTGCCCAAGTCAACAAGGAATGCAAATCATGTTCATTTCATGGTTATAAATAAAGATGGTCTGAGGAGGTTCTGCTTGGCTCAGGAGCTGGATCCAAGTTTAGGCTAACATTCAGGTTTGAGTATAGGACTTGAGTTTACAGACAATGGTGCTAAAACCACATAAATTGTTCTTGTAAGATTTTGGCCCCAAATAGTAGATATTATGAGATTCCTGCTATCTTGAATGGTGGGAGTCTGATGTGATCCTGTTCTAACACAGTTTCCACCATCTTGGGTGGAACATGAGAATGATGGCTCTCATAGATTTAACCCAGTACCAACCTGTAATGGCAGGTCATGGTCTAGGAATCTGAACTTGAACCCACCTGAAAATCAGAGAAGCTTGAATTTAAGGTTCTGATTTTTGTTCTTTCTCTAGCTGTGGATGCTTAGTTGCTCAGATAATGAAAAAAGTAACAGTACTGTTCACTCAAACACTAGTATTCTCTTATCCCACACCTTTCTCCTCCCAATACTAGCATAGCTACACATCCAAGAAATTGTAGGTGCATTGTAGATGCATTAAATTCTAGGACTAATGCGCTACTACCAAATCTATTAACATTATGACCAAGATCCCTTATGGCAAATTGCTTTTTCATTTACATGTGGCACAACTTCAACTTCTAGTAGTACGGAATCCTTAACTCATGATATACACAGTACTGTAAAAACAGATAGTACCTACTAGTTGACTGTGTGGGATGAGAAACAAGCAAACTACCTGATTCCAAATTCTGAAAAGAACTTGCTACATCCCATCTCATTAGTAGAGGTTTAGTTGTATTGGTAGTTCCCTGTTAAGAGCAGGTGAGAAACAGCACTGCCACCGGCCTCTTCTGAATGCAACTTAAGCTTCTGGAAGAAAACTGGGAGGAATGAACAAAATTTGGGCTTCCAAATTGTCCTGTGAATAAGACTGGTTATGGAGAGTTGGTTTAGCCTTTGTTTCAGGAACATGGGGTCAAATTCTACAGATGGACCCAAGCCAGGATATTTGAATCCAGATTAGATATGGATTCAAATATGGATTCAGATTAGATAGGGGAATCATGGGTAGGGTGAAGTTCGATCTGAGGTTCCTGTTCAGACCCACTTCTAAGGTGCTTTGCTAACAGAAATGGGGCCCCAAACTCTTCTTACTTACACTGGTTCTATATTGATGTAACTTGCTTAACACCAGCGGAGTTACTCCTGATTTACATATATATATAAGTGAGAGGAGAATCAGTGATTTTTGTGTACTAATGCCAATTGCATTAGAGTTTAATGGACCTGCTCCTGCTAAAGTCAGTGGAAGTTTTGCCATTAATTTCAATTTCTGAGTGTGATAAAACTCGATACAAATGTCTAAAACTTCCCAGATTAGCTCACTTGCTGCAGTTAATATTTTGTCCAGGACTTTTTTGTGGTACCAAATATAATTAAAACATTGTATTCAACCAGTACTAGTTTTTTGTCCTCTTCCGTGCCAAGGCATTGCTCTGGTGCTAACTGGGGAATAGCACTGCTCTTAGGAACTGGGAACCGAGTGTGGCAGAAGGTCATCTTTCATGAACATTTGGTACATAAGCTAAGTGATAAAATTCCAGACTTTGACTCCCTTTGGATAGAGGTGAATCAGTAAGAACTAGACATTGCAAACACTGCGCCCAAGGGCGAATCAAGTGTGGATGATAGCCTTCACAAGTTCCTTCCTCCATCATTCAGGAGCATAGATTGCAGGGGTTGGTTGGCCCAAATCCCATGTTTTTTGCTTTATTCTCTTTCTTGTGCCATCATTTTTTCTAGTACTTTGTCTCAAGACACTTTCCCCTGTGTCCTTTAGAATGTAGCTCACTGATGCTGTTGTCTTACTCTTTCCAATGGGTGAACTTAGCACAATGTAGGTCATTAATTGACCAGGCAAGACTGGAGGAAAATCAGGGGTAGCTGAGGTTATAGGGTTAATATTTATACTCTCACATGCCACTTGCGTTCTGTTGCTGTCTGACAGCTTTGACTCTGTTGCTCAATGAAGTGTGATTACATCAAAGTGTCAATCTTATCTGCATTTCAGTTTTGTTGTGTCTGTCCCTATGGAACAGATTGTACAATGTAATTATATCCTTTCCAATAGTCCTCCTAGGGAATGACTTAATCTATAATGTAGCCATCTGGTTATGAACACAGTGGCCTCATGGACCTAATAAGAACTTGGATCTTGCATTCAGTTATGTCATGTCTGAGTATTGCTTGTTTGTGTATTTTCAGAAAATCTAGATAAAATATTAAAAGGGGGAGAAAAAGTTTTTCTTCATAAATTAGTGATGACCTCAACACACACAAGTGGCAGAGCAATTGGCAAATGATGCAATGTCAATAAAATAAGCTGAAATTCTAATACAGTGAAGTAAAAGCAGTGGTAGTTGATTTATCCTGCGGAGTGGGGGGGGAGGTTAAAATTTAATATAAATGGCTGCTAATTATTTTTGAAGCCTATGATGATTCCCTAAGTGCACAGCCTCTCTTCACACATGTATGTGGCAAAAAGGAAATGTGTCACACAAAATATTTCAATCTTAGGGCCAAATCCTGTCATCTCTGTGCACGCAAAATTTCTGTTGACTTGGATTGGAATTCGTTGTGCAAAATTACTGCAGGACATTATCCAGAGCTTATATACAGGTACAGCCATGCATTTTCAAATGAAAAAATGTGTGTGTGGTTTCTCATGGTTTGACCATGTGCATAACATTTCATGTGGGCAGCAGCATCCACAATTATTAAAGAGGAGTACAAAGGTCTGTGGTTAGGCATCAGACTAATCAGAGTGGGACAAATTGGGAGACTTGGAATTTGGGTTTGTTTGTTTACTTAGAAGTCCTAGACCAGTGAAATAAAATTAGCTTTCTGTAGAGCTATGCGGGGAAAACTTGGCACTGCTTGCAAAACTGATGAGAAATAATGTTCTTGAGAGATGAATATAAATCATGGCTTTCTTGATATAAAATGTTGGCTGGCAGATAAGGGGTCGAGTATGGGAGAATGTATGCATGTGGGGAAACTGCTTTTGTTTCAGGAGTGACCAAAAGAACATGAAGGCTAATATGGTAAACTTCGAATCTTGGCCTTAAAATAAATAAATTTTAAAAGTTCACTGTTGCGGGGGCGGGGGCAGGAATGGGAGAAGTAACAACTTCACAAAGGCCTTTAGCTACCTCTGAGATCCTATAGTCCTAAATGTCCTTGCCCATTTTTAAGTCCTCAAATCACTGATGGCCATATGGCATCCTTTCTAGTCAGTGGCTGTGCAAGATAATGGGCTTTGTTTAAACAAAGTTGATTGAGGCAGCAGGCAACACCAGTTGCTACTGTTGTTTGTTTATTGCATCACAGTATAGTAAAAAACAGCACCCATTGCCTTTGCACATGGGCACATTCTACTACAAATACAAAATCCATGAAGTTAAGATCTAAAAAAAGACGTTAAATCCACCAATGTACCCAGATGGAAAAATAGTCCAGAGGGCAGTTATAAGAGGTAAGTCTTACACTGTGGCCCAGACCTTACCATATCAGATCCTGGGGGACTATGGCCTGGTTTACGAGTTTAGGTTGAATTTAGCAGCGTTATCCCGATGTAACCCTGCACCCATCCACATGACGAAGCCCTTTTTTACGACTTAAAGGGCTCTTAAAATCGATTTCTTTACTCCACCCCAGATGAGGGGATTAGCGCTGAGATCGGCCTTGCCAGGTTGAATTTGGGGTACTGTGGATGCAATTCGACGGTATTGGCCTCTGGGAGCTATCCCAGAGTGCTCAGTTGTGACTGCTCTGGACAGCGCTATCAACTCAGATGCACTGGCCAGGTATACAGGAAAAGGTCCGCGAACTTTTGAATCTCATTTCCTGTTTGGCCAGCGTGGCAAGCTCACCTGCACAGGTCACCATGCAGAGCTCATCGTCACAGGAGACCATGCAGTCCCAGAATCACCGAAGAGCTCCAGCATGGACCGAATGGGAGGTATGGGATCTGTATGGGGAGATGAATCCGTGTTAACAGAACTCCATTCGAAAAGATGAAATGCCAAAATATTTGAAAAAATCTCCAATGGCATGAA